GCAGTTCCTCTGCTGAGCCCCAGCTTTGTTTTCACTTTTTTTTTCCCCCAAACTTATTTATGTTTTCCCAACATAGCAGCACCCTCCGGTCTGCTCATTTCCGTTGGGAGATGTTGTGTTCTTGAGTACTCCAGCCCTCTGGTGAAATCAAACTGCATCCCTTTGGGAAGGAGGAGCCCTTTTCTCCTGCCTTGGCAGAACCCAGGACTGGTGTTTAAACATCAGGACTGTGTGCAGCCGTCCTGCCCACTCGCTGTGCTAAGGGAGGCACAGTATGTGTGTGACTCAAGTGTGATTTCAGCATTCCATCTCCCACTTCCTCCACTTCTGCAATCTATCATTTCAAATGATAAGTTTGAGGCTTAAGATTAAGATCTGCTGAGAGGGTGTGAGAGTTCTGACTTTCAGGACTTGCAGAATGTGTATGGGATCCTCCAACCTTTTTAGCTAGCAGATTGCTCCTATCAGGATGGAGAGCTGCCTCTTGCAGTTAAGTGTGTTTGCAGTCTTTCTCGGTTTGTTTTGTGAGACTGAAGTGCAAATGGAGACTTGTGCTGACTTTCAGCCATTCATTACTAACTCACAATTGTTCCACTTCCGTGTCATCCTTACCTGTTTGCATACCCAGAGTTGGCAGCCTGACTCACCATCCTGAGTGGGTGAAGCAGGTTCCTGAGAAAAGCAGCTGTATTCACAGTTCAGGAGGAACTTATTCTGATAAACTGTTTTTCCTCTGCAGTGAATGCTATGTGGGTTTTTTTTTCCTTCCTTCTAAGCATCTTTTAGCATCTTAGAAATAAGCAGCTGAACTGAGCAGTTGCATTCAAATTCCTATCGGTCAAGAGTTTGGTCACTGGAAAACACAGTAATCCCAAGAGGGGGGTGAGAGAAGTGTGGGTTGTGGGGTTAAACAGACCTGTGACATGTACCCAGGGCAGAGGCATGTTGTGAGCTTCTATAAGAGCTTGTGGCATCATCCTGCTATGGAACCTGTGTTGATCAAGCAGGGTGTAAGAACATATAAATGTTTATCCATCATGAGCTATAAACTTTATCAAAGAAAAACAAGTGCTGTTAGGTGTCACTTTCTGGCAGCAACGTGGCCAGAAGGTGAGAGAAGCAAATAAGGGGTTTGTGACTTGCCCTACCCTCCTTTCTAACCTCATCTCTGGCTGTGAAATTATTGTATGACATAACCCCTTAGTGGAAAGAGACTGAGAGGATGGTTTGCTTTCTCCTGACTATGCCTTTTCTTTAGGAAACTCCTTAGCATGACTTCTGGCAGTTTGTGCTCTGACAGAGATGCTTTTTTCCAATGTTTGTAAATTTATGTGCAGGTGCTTTCACATATAGTAGGTGGTTTGGGCTAATTCTCGGGGTACTGTGCCCATGCAATGCATGCATTTATGTATGTATGCACACATCACTTCCCCACCTTTGTAGGCTGAGTACCAGCTCTGCCACATGGTGATGTATCATGATCACATAATCTGGCATTTTATCTTTCTTTTCCCCTGTTATGACTGAGGCAGCCATCCCATGCTGTCAGATTTTCATTATTTGCAGCCACAGCACACAGCCTTCAAGGCCCCATCCAAGTTGTGGTGGCAGGGTCAGGAGCAAAGCCCAGCTCAGCCCTCACTGGCAGAGGAATGGGTCTAATGCGCCGGTGGAGTTCTCAGCTGCAGTGCTGTTGTCCTTACTGGTCTCTCAAAGTTCTTTATTGGATGAGCTGAGGATGCAATGGTGAGAGGAAACTTATGTCTCTGCTGTTATCTAGCTAAAATCTTTCCCCTGTTTCTCCCTTGTGCTGTCCTACTTCTGTCTGGTCCCTTCTATGACTTTCTACAGCACAGAATTTCCGTACGCCCTTATTTCACCTCATCAGCAAAACTTTAAGGTGAAAGAAAATTGACTGTAGCTTTGTAACGAGCAGTGCAGGGAACAGATTGCTGTGGCACATTTAGCTGCACGATGATGACATATTAGACTTCCCCCAGTCCAAGGGCTGTGACAGGTCTCCTAAGGAGCTCTTTGTCCGGTTCAGTGATGGATCAGCTGCTCCCATGCTCCTACCTGTGTTTGTCCCCTGCTGTGTAAGAGCAGTGCACTTGGAGCAGTGTGGTCAGAGGTAACTGAAGCAGTGACTAACATATTGCTGGGACTTTCCTACTTGCTGCTGTTTCCCCAGCTCTTAGACGTAGGGGAATTTGACACAAGCAGAAGATTGGGGTTGGCTGCTTCTCCCCAGCTCAGCCACTACTGGTTTCACTTGCAGTAAACCACCCACACAGCAGCAAAAATGTTAACAGGGTGAGGAAGCATTGGACTGCCTTCTGGGGGGGGGGGGGAAGAATTTCCACACCTGGCTCAGTGTCTTAATCAGCCCTTGTTCTTGTTTTAGTGCTATGGACAGCTGCTGTGAAAGCCAGCTCTGGGCTGGCTGTGGTTTGCCCTGAAATGAGCACTCCTGGCACTGTGAGCAGCCCACAGAGGTGCCAGGGAGATGGATCTGACAGGTTTGAGGTGTGCTGCATTCACTAACCAGTACATGTACCTGACAGGCTCTGGGCTTGGAGGTTATGTGGAGCTCTGCTCCTCAGCTGCCTGGTAGAGGGGCTCAGGGAGCAGAGGTTGCCCTGCAGCATTGCAAGGGAATTAACAGAGCTGTCCAGTGACTTGTTTCTGCCCCAGGGGCAGGAACTAGGATCCGTAGTTCAGCATTAGAGCCCTATTCTGAGCTGTGCTGGGCCTTTGCAACATATGCTACTGTTCTGAAACAACAGCAGTTCTTCCTGCTTCTGGTCAGACAGCCCCCGCTGTTCTTATAACTTGTCTTAAAGCCTCCAGCTGAGTTCCCCAGTGAGAAGGGCCAATGCAGTCACCTGCTGTCCTTTTTGTTTCTGTTTTGCATGTTATCTGCCATTGCTTCAATTTGCCACTCATAGCACATTCTGTTCCAACTTCTGCAAATGCACAGTGGCAGAATAAGCAATGTGGAAACTGGGCTGTGCACAGTTACTCTTCCTTGACTCCAGAACAGCAGCCAGGGGATGCAAGCAGCATCCTTGTTTGATCAACAACCATACCACAGCAAAAGCTGCTATCGAGCACAAAATCCCCCAGTCTCTACTCTTTGTAAGAACAGTGTTCAAACTCTTCTTCTTGCTGAGCAGTGTAAAAAAAATCTACCAGTGTTTGGGTGGATGCAGAAGTACTGATGTGAAATTATTTTGTTGTACTAGTCCCTGTGCTTCAGTGGAGCCAATAACTCCGCATTTCAGCCTTTTCAGTCTCAAGTAAAATGTGTGCTCCTTCTGTCACCTTACAGCTTCATAGCAAGCCACAGCTTCAAGCAATGAGGATGATTGCAGGAAGGCTCCAGTAAGCTCTATAGCTTTTCTATTCAGAAACGTAATTTTAATTTTTTGGAAACACTGGTTACTCCAGAACAGGCCATATTTGTTTCCAATGTTGTTAATAGATTCTAATATATTACTGGTCATAAACTGTCCATCCTCCATCCCCATCTTTTCTCCCCAGTGTATGGTATACCACTGCCAGCTGCACCAGGACGGTGTGTGCTATGGATTTAGGGGTGAGCTAGCAGTGCTTTTGGAGGTTGTGCACTGCCGTGCAGCCATCTCCAGCTCCTTGCTTGCACACCGAGGCAGCATAAAAGGTGAGCCATCAGCTTTTGCTTTGAAAGTGCTTCCACAAAAACAGGTTAAAAGCAGCTGGTATGTTTGCAGATCTATTTGAGGTGCCAAAAGCTGTGCAAGGTACACTCAGTTGCTAAACCCAGCCCAGGAAGTGGAAGGCCTGCTGTAAAAACTTGTGGCCAAGCAGAGTGGCAGAGTGGGTGAGGTGAAGCTTTTGCCACAAAAAGCCATATGCCAACAGCACTGCTCTGATCTTGGTGCACCAAGAAGGCAGAAGGGATGTGCTGATAGATGTTGGCCCTAAATGGGTGTGATAGGTACTTCTGGAGGGAGAGACCTGTGTATGGGCTTCCAAAGGAGCCTGAGCACTCTGAGGAGGGTGGTGTGGATGCTCCATCAAAGAAATCACTATTTCCTGCAGGCTGAATGTCTGCCAGCAGGTTCCAGCACAGCAAAGCAACCAAGGAGAGAGCTCTGGGTACGTTCTGCATGGTTTAGATGAGGGTGATGGATCTGAGCAGAGCTGTAGGTTTCTGTTCCAGATGGTCATGGTGAGTTGACAGGCGCAGTCATTCCTGTTTCTGCTTACCACTGTGTATCTGGTGATTTCCTAAGAGAAGACACAAGGCTGTGAGTTCTCCCCTCCATGTGAGCAAGACACACAGTCACAGCGCTGTGAAGGTAAGCCCTTTTCCTTAGGCAGGAGCCAAAGCAACATCTGCTACAGCCTTCATGCAGAACGGGGTCAGGCTGAGATGCGTACTGGGGAGAATAAGAGGCTGAGCCCACTCCTGGTGGCTATAAAGAGATAATAAGGGAAGAGGGAGTGCGGAGGGCAGTGTTGTGGGGGTCTGTGTGGGTGGCACTCAGCATTCCCCACAATGAAAGCAATGCACTCCCTCCTCTGTGCAGCATCCTGTGTGAGCTCGCAGGCTCCAGCTGTGGGGCTCTGTTGTTTTTCAGCCTGCCGCTTTGCTGACTAACACCTCCGCTTTCTGCCAGGCTCATTCATATTTTAACCCATTTCCTGAGCTTTGAGGTGGTTTCTTCTATTGCTTTTCCCTCCAGTAGAACGCAGTCACTCAGTTCTCAGCTGTTCTCCTGTCATGGTTGACTCATTCCTTATGGTAATACGTGATTGTCTCCCTCTTAAATGTCACCAGAATTGTTTTTAGAATCGTTATGCCTGGTCTGTGTCTTGGAGCCAACCAAGGAGGGGGGAGCCGGGAGCCAGACCACCTCCCTGCCTGCACTCTGATGGTTGCTGCTGCCTCTTGGTCCCAGAGTCTGTTTGGAGACAGGTGTTAGCAGAATAAAGCAGTATTGAGCTGTCGGATGTGGTCCATAAAGTACTATTTAGTTAGGTTTAACCACTTAACGACTTGCCACCAGTGCCTCATCCACTCATTCTACCAACCCCACTAAGTGACTTGCATGACCTTTTAGATCTAAGCCCTAGAAGTTTGCTTTATCTGCTCTCCCACCTTGTTTTCACATAAAAGTAAGATAAAAGAGCAATACAGTAATAAATGATGTGTGGGAGCCTGGACCTGAATTCATTGCCTCCTCTGTGCTCACCACATCCTTCTGTCAGTAATACTGATACAGTGATGACGTCAACCACCGCCTATTGCTGTGTATTCCAATACAGCACGGCTCCTGGTGCGCACACCGGGCGTTTTTCTCGCTCAGTGCTGATGAGAGCCACCTGCTCTCCATCTCCCACATGCAGTGTCTGCGGTCCCAGTAACCGTTTAGCCAGGCCAGTCCGGCTGGGGGAGAGCTGAAGGGCTGACATGGACAGCTGAAAGGACGGGGCAAGGTAATGTCCGTGTTCCCATCAATTTTCCCTGCTGCCAGTTTGCTCCTGCTTGATACCTGTGCCCTCACTGTAAATCTTTCCCTTTGCTGATGTGGCCCTTGTCATTCCCCATGTCATTCACGTCGCCTCATACTGGGCAGCCGGAGTAGCCTGATGCCTCTCTGTTTCTTTGGGCAGTGTGATTAGGTAGCTGTGTATGTTGCTAATGAAGATTTCGAGAAGAAAACTTTCTTTTGCTTCTAGCTGGTGGCCTGAGAGACTTCTGCAGACCTTCCACTCTTTTTACTTGGATGTAACTGGAGCTTTTGTTTTCTCATGCTTGGAAATATCAGGAATAATAAGCAAAATAGTCTTAAAATTCTGTGTACTGGTCTCATCTCCTCTTCAATGATGTATTTTAAAACATTGCAGAGTCATTTATAGGTGTGCATATAGATGAATGGATAATCACCTTTTATTAAGAACAGCCAGGTTGGATGGGGCCCTGGGCTGCCTAATCTAATGGGTAGCAACCCTGCCCATGGCAGAGGGTTGGAACAATCTGATCTGTAAGATCCCCTCCAACCTAAGCTGTTCTGTGTTTAATGTGATGCCATGATTATCACAAAGGGGTGGAAGGGGCTTCTCTAATACAAAATAGGGAGTAAGTTTCTGCCTCTGCTCATTGCCTACTGCCATTTTGCCCTCTGCTCAGAAGTGAACAATCTCACAAGCAGGGAACTGTCCCTATTCTGCTCCTTTGCTCTTATCCAGAAATCTTCCATCTGAATTGCTTTGTTTTACAATAACCTTTCTCCAGTGTGTAATAACACCAGCTAATGTTGCTATAAAACTACTTGGGCTTTGTTGCTTTGACTTTATCTTGTTCAATCTTTCCTGTTCTCTGAGTAGAAAAGAAATAAAGAAGAAATAACAGACCAGTAAGCAACAAAGGCTTCCCTCTCATTGCTTTGCCTCTGTTGGCAGCATGAAGGAAAGCAGAACGACAGCAGTGTTGTGGCTGCAAAACACTCAGGGCACTGCTAGTTGAATTCTGAAACAAGCAGTGAGTCTGCAGAGCTCTCTGGGAGTCCAACCCTTCCTGCCTTGGCTGAAGAAGAAGCAGCAAGCAGCCTGCTTCTGCTTGCAGAGAGACCAAGGCTGTGGTGTGTGGCAAAGCAGTGACATTGAGGTTGGGCTTGTGCAGCAGGGCACAGCTCTGAGGGATCAGTGCAGCTCCTGAGCCAGCACTGGGCTGCACTCAGGGAGAGGACACGAAGGCCTGAGGTGGCACAGCTTTGTTCTGGGCCTAGTGATATCTAGGCTTCAGCGTACAACTCATTTGGTACAGCTCTTCTATTAAATGTGCTGCAAGGAACAGAGCTTGTGATAAGATATTGCAAGCAGATGCTGCAATGTGAGGAGGCTTCCCATCTGCAGGGGACTGTTCCCATGGGGCAGTTAGGTGAGTGTGGTTTGGATGGTGTGATGAGGGGTGCCTTACTCAGAGAAGGAGGAGTTCAGAGAAGAGTTGGGGAAGGGTAAACGAGAGCCCAGGTGTTGCTCAGTAGTGGGCTGTGCCGTAGTTATCAGGGACTGGTGGTAATGACAAGAGTCACAGAGAATATTTGGAGAACTGGAGAAAGAGCTTCTGTCCTGCTGCTCACAGCAGGCAAGGGAGACAAGCAGGGTGCCTGGGCTCCTTGGTGAGCTGGAGCAGCTGCTTTTCTGTGTCTGCAAGGGAGTGAGGGCAGCAGCAGCACAACTGCTCCCGCTGCAGAGCTGAGGTGCTGCTGCCAGCTCCGGAGTGAGCCCTGCTGATCTCATCTGGACACTGCAGAGCCTTGAGAGCGAGTCTCAGATCTCACGTGGGTTTGCAGGGGCTTTTTGGTGGCTGCTAAATTTATTTTGCTTTCATTATTTGAGTAAACTTGGAAATTTTTAAACATCGTGAGTATTCCCCAAGTGGGAGAGGTGTTGCTGGTGTTCTCTCTGATGGGCACCTGGTTGTTCGCTTCTTCCACATCATTTTCACAGGTGCCTTGCTGCAAACCAGGGCCAAGTTTTGCAGGGTTCTGGCACTTGTTGCTTGCAAGCATGGCTTGCAGTCAGCAGAGGGGCTCCTGCGGGGTCAGTCACTGAAGGTGTAGCAGTCATCTGCATTTGGTGTTGTTTCCTCATTTTGTTACACACATCTTGCTGTACCCTTCTCTGAAGACCTTCCTTTCCTGTAGGTTCTTTTCACCAAAGTGCATCAGGACAGTCTTTTCCTGAAGAGTGCTATGCATTATTATTCTTGTGACAGATGGGAGACTGTTCTTTGTTTTACTCTTCCTGGCTCTGTGGAGTCCCTTAGCTGGATGTCCCTTGCTTATTCAACTATACAGAGTCCAAATCAGTGAGTTCTCACAGGTACTACCCATACAGACCCACACTGACATTCAGACTTGTTTATTGGACTAATGCACTCTAGAGAGGTTTAAGCCACGACAATGTCGCTTCTATTTGCAAGACATTTCTGATTGCAGGAAGTTGATGAAGGAAAAAATGAGTTAGCATTTAACCAAGTGTCTTCCTGTTGCATGGATAGGCTGAGGCTGCAGGCACTTTTCCGCTTGCTCTGAGCAAATGCTGCTGGCAAAGAGCAGAAATGTCACTCATCTGTATAATGGCCATAGGCCCCCCACCCCAAACCCTTAGCTCATGGGAGGGATGTATGAAGGAAAGCTGAGATGCCTTGCCCAAATTAAGCAGTTCGCTTTTAGACATGTTAATGAAGGCTTGATTAATTCCACTTTAACCTCGAACACACATGAGCAGATGGCTGAGCTGAACCCCTCATTGTACAGCTTTTTTGCTTTTTTTCAGGACATCCAATCAGAACCAAAATGAGGAACAAACTATGGCTCCAGAGTATTTCCTTCTTCCTTTTATTCCAGTACAGTAAGTTCACAAACACGTATTCCTGGCTGTACACAAGGCTTGCCTTCCTGGTCATTGACACAGGCTCTGCAGGGCTGTACACAAGAGTGCCACAGGGCAATAAGCACAAGACAGATAGTAGTGGAGAGGGTTCCACGGGGAGGGGAGGTGAAGAACAGGCAAGAGAGGGAGCAGAGCTGGGCAGATCTCAACCAAGTTGCAGAGTGGCATCAACAGGGATGGGATGCTGCAGAGACAGTTATTGCCTTGCACTGAAATGGCTCCTGGTGACATAGGGGTAGGATTCCTCCCCAAAACTTTTGCTATCGGGAACGTTCTGGTGGCTGATAGCTGGATATACAGCATACAGCACAGTTGGAAGCCAACCGGACACTGGAGTGATGTCTCCCAGTCTGAACCCCTTTGCTCAGGTCTGCACTGTGCAGATGACCACTGCCACTTCCCTTGCTGGTTCTTATCTGCTGCTGCTGGACAGAAAAAGGTGGCAACAAGAGCATCTGCACAGAACGGGCGCGAGCTCAGCATTTCACACGCTGATCTAGGCAGAGCCCTGGAATTAGTGAAAGAGGTGAATTCAGAGTTGTATCTTCTGCCATACTGTGATGTCAGTATTGTGAATTTTGAGTAACATGAGGAATTAAGTGTACTAACTTCTTTAGTAGTTAGTTTAGCAGTTAGACCAGGCTGGATCTTACTGTTAGAAGTAAAATCCTTTGATCTTTTCTTCTGAAGCTGCCAGGGATAGAATTCATCCTGAAGTCGATTGGGTTCATCTAACCTTTTATTACTCCCTTACCAGTAAAAATTTGACCTCTTCTTCAATTTGTTAAAAAATTCTTGCAGAGATAATTGTGCAGACAGCCAAGGAGAAGTAGACTTTTTGACCAATATCATAATAGCATAGAAGAATGATAATTAGCAGTGCTTATTAATTTATAAATAGTTTCTGCCCTTTCTAAAAGAAAGCAGGGGTAACAGCTCTCTTTTTCTGGAAGAGCAAAGTTATTCTAATGAAGAAAAAGTATCTTGTTTGGGACCAAAGCAAGAAATGCATGCCCTGGGGGCTCAGGGCAGCCTGCTGAGGACACAGAATCAAGAGCTAAGATTGAAATGAAACAAAATGAAATTAATGAAAATTTCAGAACAGAATTCTGAAGTCAGAGTGAGAGGAAAAAGTCAAACTGAAACAAAATAACAGCCACGTAATTTGAATAATGCAATGTGTAGTAAAGCACATGGACACAATTTGGAGACAGAGGCTGCTGCAAGAATCCCCACACTTCTTTTTCTGCCACCTTCCTGCTTCACTGGAGGTCTTGCACAGGCATCTGAGTGCTGAAATAGACCGTGCCATGCTCAGAGTGATAGGGTGTTGTATGGCACATCTGCAGAAGCTCTTTTTACTTCTCAGCCTCTGAGAACTGTTAAAAGAGTAAATGCTGTTTTGTGGCCACTTGTAAGTGTGCTCATTTTCCTAATGACAACACTATGATCTCCATAATTGCCTCTCAGGTTCTCATCAGAAGTCTGTTTCAGTTTAAGTGATCAATAAATTCAGGCATCAGAATTACTTATGGAAATAATAGTGGGAAAGTTGCAATACCTTTTTGTCAACATTTGATGCAGTCTATTCCAAGTCTCTGGAGCTGGATATGAAAATCATTGATGCTGCAGATACCAAACTGTAGAAAATTTTAAGCTGAGAGAATGGTAAAGAAAGAATTACTAAATTACCAATTTTTAATGTGCCAAGAGCCACGAATCTTAGGTTGTGATCGTGTGAGAGAGGGCAGAGAGACGTTTGAAAATTCAGCCCCGGTTTGGGCACATTCTGGTATTTCTGTACATCATCTGCTGCTGCAGCATTCCCAGTAGGTTTTTCTTTATCACTGATGGCTGCCAGGGGTTCACCTCCCTTTGGAGGTGGAATATTCCTGTGCTCCAGGACTGGAGGCTTTCTGAGCCTGGTGCAGGGCAGTCTGTTCTCTTTGGATGCAGCAGGACTCCCAAGGGCTGTGTGTTGATACCAAGTTCTGCTTGCTGCAGCATGGAAGCTGGTATTGTGTTTTCTCTCTCCAAACCTGCAGCCGCATGTCGTGAAAACCTCACTTGTTTTGTGGACTATGTGCAGACCCTGTCCTGCCTCCTGAGGAATGACCTGGGTGCCAGTTCATACAATATCACTGCTACATGGTATGTCTTAATAGAACACAGTTTTTATTGCAATCTGTTTTGTTACAGTGACAGATCAGTCCAACTAGTTTATGTGATAGAAGTGGACTACTTTCTTTGGTGTTTGTTTTTTTTTTTAATGGTTTCAGGGTTGATGAGGACGATCCAGAAAACACTGTGGCAGCCTGCAGTCTCCTGGAATTGTCCAGGAGCACCAACCACACAGAATACATTTGTACTGTGGACATGACTGAGCTGCTGGCAGACATCAAAGTCCAGGTGGATGTCACAGAGATAGCTGACAGGCAGCATGTGATTTCCAGAAGTTTTTATATGAGAGAAAACAGTAAGTACAAAAATGATGGGCTCGATATATGTTGTTTAAGCTTGTCTCAATTTGCCAGGATAGAGTCTGGGCAGGGAATGAGCAAGACAACCAAGGGTGGGGAGCTGTGTTCAGTGTGCACTCCTCTGGGCAGGACAGTGGGATCCTATTGTTGCCATTATAAACTGCAGAACACCTCATGACTGTGCCTGAGCTGAAAGTCACCCAACTGTGCAAGTGACTATGACTAAAGGAGACCTCCTGTGTGATGAACAGAACAAAGAACTCTGCTTTCCTCATCTCCCAGGAGCTAGCTGCCCTCGTGCTATTTTCCCTGGTTCCTGAGATGATAAGGAATTGCAGAGATGGGCAACAGAGTCAGGGACAGAAGGCATTCAGAGCACCAGATGTCACAGTGCTGCCTGCGCAGGAGTTTGTGCTGTGCAGAGCTGCACCTCCCAGGGCACTTCTGGCCCCTCTGTGTTCTGCCTTCCTCATACTGCGCTCTCTTGCATCTGCACTGATGTCGTGAAGAGTAACACTGTTGTGTCTTCACCCCCAGTCAGACCACAGCCTCCATTCAATCTGACTGCTGTGTTCACAGAAGGTTACAATATTTCTTGGGAAACCATCTACCAGAACCCTCTTTTCTACTTTCTGAATGAGGAGCTGGAATATCAGCTGCGTTATAAGAGAGGGGCTGACACCTGGGAGGTAAGTGAGATATTGGCTTACCATCAAGTACCAGCAAAGAGAGGACCAGCCCTAGCAGGACAGGAGCACTGGTGTGGAAGAAGGGTTCTTGAGGTTTTGAAAAAGACTCTATTTTGCTTGCTTGGACTAAGAACAAGCAAAACTATAAAAAGAATTGAGAAGCAGAAGCTGTTAGAAAAGTACAAGGTTCTGTGGGGAAGAGAGGTAGATCATTTGCTTCTCCTGTTCTGCTTTGAAGAATCCCCCAGGGCCTGAGGCAGCTGCTGAGCAGCCAGAGTATAGCCCACAGAAACAACATGACAGCAGAGGGGATTCCTTTGCGGGGCTCCAAGTGAGGGTAAGGTGAGAGCACTCTACTCACTGACTACTTGATGTGTAATTATTTACAGACTCAGAAGATTAAGTCTGTCCACGAAGACAAACGGACACTGGTGATCCTACCATGGGAACTCCAGGGGAACACTGAGTATGAATTCCAAGTGAGAGCCAGACCCCGAGAAGACACTGGCTACTATGGATTTTGGAGTGAGTGGAGCTCCCGGCTGACACTGAAAACCAGCCCTGCTGGTACGTTCTGTTAGCTCTCCCTGTCCTTCCAGTTTGCCCAGTGTCAGAGAATGCTACCAGAAATCTACTGAAATCTAATTCATTAGAACAAAAGCTAGATAGTCTGGTAAAGGCAGGCGTTTGGCTTGCTTATGGGTCCATGAACTCTAGGCAGGAGAACTGGGCCCAGGAGCAGGGAGCTGACCTGCCCCAAGCACATCAGCTGCCAGCTGCCCTGTGGCATTGCTGCAGCAGTGATGCACAGCTCCTTTCATTGCTGAATCCTCTCTGACCAACTTCACCCATACCTGACCTCATGGACAGGGGCTGGTCCCCACGTAACAGCCTCAGAGTCTCTAAGAGAAAGTCTGGGGTAAAATCTCAGGGTCTTCTTTCTGCTGCTTATTGACCACGGTCAAAGTGCAAGGTGAGTCTGAATGACCTTGTCTCTTTCTCCAGCCGTGACACAGAGAGCAGGCATGGAGTGGATGCTGTTCTTTATTGTTGCCATGGTGATCACTGCCTCAATCACAACCTTTCTGGCCAAGCAACAGAGGTAAGAGCCCATAGGGAAGCTGGACTTAAATGCCCCTTATTTGTTCTGCTAAAAATGGGGTGTTCACATGCAGCCTTCTTTGCATATTGTGCCTTCAGGCATAGATACAGCTGTGGCCTTGTGAGGGCCAGCAAAGTATATGTCAGCTGGTGTAATGTCAAGAGTGCCTTGCTTTTCTTTGTCAGCTCTGATGCCTCTCAATAGGCTGGGTGGAAGAGAACACTGTGCACAGGGACTGAGCAGAGGCCTCCAGGCTCCTGAACTGTTTTTCCTGGTCCTGTCCATGGTCTGGAGATGCCCAAATGGGAGCAGGCATGGCTTGCTGCCCCTTTTCAAGGTGGTGCAAGTCACTCAGTGCAAGCCTGGGGCCTCTCCCCTCTTGCAGAGAGACAGTGTGCTTAACCCCAAGATCTTTCTTTTTTTTCTTTTCCAGCTTGTGGAAGAAGATCGCTTGCATCCCAGATCCATCTGCCTTTTTCAAACCACTTTACCTGATGTATAATGGAGATTTCAAGGTATAAATGAACTACATAAGTGAGTGAAGCTTATGATAGACTCATAAAATAACCTAGATTGAAAAGGACCACAACGATGATCTCATTCCAACCCCCTGCTATGTGCAGGGTCACCAACCACTAGACGAGGCTGCCCAGAATCACCTGCAGCCTGACAAAAGTAAACTAAGAGGCCCCACATTATTTCCTGGGCAAGGGATTCTCATTAGTACAGTAAGTGAGAGAACATCTCAAGGGAATGCTGCATGGGTACAGACAAGGATCAGAGACCTCCAGTATGTTTTCTGTACTGTAATGGTCTTTATGCCTGTGCTGCTCATGTCTTGTAAATGCTGTCTTAGTGATGAGCTGAGCTCATATTTGAACTGTGAAGTTTCTAGTTGTGAAGGGAATGGACAAAGCAATATCAGGACTGCAATCTCATGCTGCAATCTCATGCTGCCATCAAGGATTTGGACTGTAGGCTTTGCTGTAGGCCACATCTCCCAGTCCAGCCTCTGCAGTAACACAGGGTCAACATTAATCTTTGCAGTTCTCTCTGGAGAGTCACTTGTGCAGACAACATATAGATATATCACCCTGGAACGATGGCTAGAATTCTGGGGAGAAATAGCTGCTGTGTCACAGCACTGTATGTGCAGCTGCCTCCTCCATGAGGAAGTATCTTTGTAAAGTGAGCAACTTTGCCTAGCCCTCATTAATTACCTTCTCTTTTAACATCAGTCAGACTTGCTCACCTGACAAAGCATCTTGCAAAACCCACAGGGTTTTCAGGATTTGTCAAGATTAAAAAGTAAAGAACACTGAGTATCCATAGACTTTGCATTAAGCTGAAGAGAACCCCCAATGCCATTGCAAAACTGTGAAAGTGCTGGCACTGAACTGCAGTGATCACTGCCTCTTTCTGAATGAGTTCCTTTTGTTCCTGCTGGCTGGTAGCGCTGCTCATAGGCGCTTCAGTGTCTGCTTTTTGTTTCTGCTTTTCTTAGACCCTCTGCAAGAGAGTTGCCAGCAGGGCCCTGACGACCATCGTGTCCTTTCCTGGTGCTGTGTGGATGATGTGTGCAGTTGGGTTAAATGGCAAATTTTGCACGGGCACCACTTAAGCTGAAGACTACAGCAGTTGTTTCTTTTCTTTCCTGCCTTCCCCTTTCAGTCCTATCACAGCTTCCCTTATCTGCATGCCAGGGGTACTCGCATCTCCTTGTGGTCCTTTCTCAGGAAAGGAGCCAGGACTAGGTGAGCCCAGTGTGGGAATTCCTAAAAGTTAAGGGATGGCACTCATAGTGGAAGTGAAACCAGCCTGTCATGCGCAGAGCCGTGCTCTTGTCAGAGAATCTTGTGGCTTCACCCTGTTCGATGGGACTGATGCTACTGCTGGTTTCTAATCTGCTTGGTCAGTGCTTCTGGGAAGGAATGAGTGTCAGTTACAGTGTTGCTAAAGCTCAGTTCTGAGAAAGTTAATAAATTTGCAGAATAAAGCAGCACACGAGATTCAGAAACTGACAGCGTCAAGAGGATGTGGTGACCTCACTAATATGTGAACAGTCATCATTATCATCATCATTATCAGCAGGCAGAAAAACAATCAATTAAGGCTTGTTCAACTGCATCTTGCCTGCACCAAAGCAAGTGCTCAGGAAACATCTGTAAATAATGACAGTAGCAATGCTTGCACAGAGCAGACCTGGGTTGGACAGGAAGCAGTGAAAACATTAGAGAACTGTTAAGACAGAAAAGGAGAAGGGAAAGCAGAGGAACATTGTTTACCACTTAGTGTATGTGGGTTCTTATGTTTATGTTGGGTGGGAACGTGTAAACGCGTGTCAAGAGGGCATAGGAAATATTCTGCCTGCTCAGTTCTGAGGAGGGAGTTTCCTGCTGTTCCCTCAAATAGCCTGTTGCATGCACAGCTTTAACACTAAGCTCTTTGCAGCTTAGGTTAAGAATAATTTGGAATAATTAGGTACTTCCTGCAGTAGTGAAGTTTCTACACTTGGTGTCAGTGTATCACAAGATGATCTCTTCCTAAAAGCAAGGGCTGCTCTGAAACAAATGCCTCCTGTTTAATATGTTGACCCATGATGGCAGAGGTTGAACCTTCCCATCAAAATCCTGTTACACGTTGTTGCTGTGTGACAGATGGCAGCAGAGTGTGTGTGCTGTAATGCTAGTGGTGGTATGGAAGGACAAGATCCAATGTGAGACACCTTCCAGTCATCCCAGTGTTATTTGCACCAAGCAATAGCTACAGCTCTTTGATGCCTGCAGCCCCTGCCCTGTCCATCTTTCTTGTCGCTGTGAGAGAAAGGACTAGTTTTGGGCATGGTAAAGATGATCTTCACAGAAGATCAGGTCAAGCCTTGCCATGAGCAGCTAAGATGAGGGAAGTGACAGAACAGGCCTATGTGTGTGCTGGCTGCAGATGTTGCATGTAAAGAAACTGACTTTGCTTCCAGAGAGAAACAGTGTCCCAGAGAAGGGTGCAGGGCAGACATGGTGGCTTAGGGGGGATACCTCTGGCTGATAAACTGGGAATGCTGCTATGGGCAGTGGCAGCTTCTTTGGTTGGTTTATGTTGTTTTTTGTCTGTTTCAGCATGAGGAAAACTGCAAAGCCATGCAAATCTCTTAGAGGTGATTAATTTTGTTTATGTGAGCTATTTTTTCTGCACTGCCTGTTCCTTGTAATAACTGCATCTCATACCCTACCACTTTAGGGGAGTCGGTGATATTACAGATCAGTGGTGCCTCTGAAAACATAAAATCTTCAGTCGCCTCTGTAGAAACTCACACTTGACAATACTAACCTCTCTCTCTCTGTTTGTGTTTTCATGCAGAAGTGGGTTGGTACATCCCATATGAAAATGACCATTGATTTATTTGAATGGGAAATAGTCCCTTCAGAAGTCCTAGAAGTTTTCAGCATGCGTCCTTCCAACTGCACCTCACAGGAGGAGATAAAGGAGTTGAAAAATGATCTGCCTTGCAAGCCTTGTGTGTCCTGCCTGACCGCCCCAGTCCAAGACAGCCTCCTGTCAGGTGTGAACAGCAGCAGTGTGACTCAGGACCGCTCATATGGACATTTGTCCATTGACACTGTGACAGTGGCTGATGAATTTACACCTTGTAACTGCCAGTGCAACTGTAACCGCATGTACAGGGAACAAAAGCATAATAGTGATGAAGATAGTGCTGGAGAAAATGGTTACCCCAAGGTTAACATTGATGATGAAGACAGAAGGCCATCCAGTGCCTTGCATCTGTCTGACGTGAGCTCACAGGACAAAATTCTGGCCTCAGGCTCTATGTCCACAGGTCACCTGAGGACTGCAGGTGCCCCAGGCCACCAGAAAGTTGAAGAGGCTGTGGAAGGAGGGATGGGGAGCATCTTAGAAGCCCTCTGCTTGCATCCTAATCCGTGGGATTTGGAAAATCCAGCTTCTCTACCTTCTCCTGATGGTGAAAGTGTGTCCTACAGTGAAGGATCCTGTGACTTTTTCCCACGCAGTGCAAGGCCTGGTGACAGTTACCCCATGATCTGCCTAGATTTGGACACTATTGACAGCGGCTTTGTGGACTCGGACTGCGGGAGTCCAGTTGACTGTGACTTTGAGCAAAATAGCCAGACCAACTGTGGGTCCGTTTCTCTTGAGCAGGAGGGAGAGGACTTTCCGCGGAGCTATGTCAAGCAGTGGATCTCCTGCCATGCTGACAGCCCTGCCAGCGGGACTCAGACAAACTGAGGAGTTGATTTTGTTCTGCAGAGTAGAGGGCCTTTCCCATCCTGTGCCAGAAGCAAAGTGTTGCCCAAATTCAGAAGGAAAAGCAGAGTTTACTCTGTGTAAGCTGTACTACATACAATGGAGAACAGTTACATCCATAGAGATATAGGTCTATTTCTACTGCCACTCATTCTGTCCACATTGTATCAAACCCGGCATGATTAATTTTCTTTCAGCATTCTTTGTCAAACCCTTATATAATGACTACAGACTTTAATTTTTCACAACAAGAAAAAACAACTGTACCTTTAAAATCACTCTTTAGCTTACATAGATTTGATTTGTTTTTATTTTTTATTTTTTAAAGTAAGCTTGTAAATAGTAGAGAACTTTAAAGGGTTTTTCCCTGGCATTCTCTTATGACTGGAGTTGGATGTACATGGAATCTTCTAAGCGTATCTAATGGCAAGCATGTTTGTTACATTAAAGTTCCCTTACCCTATTCTAACAACAGGTGTTACTTTTCCAACCACTCCCCTCTGTACATGCAGCTGTAAAGTTTGTATTAAGTATTAATTACATCCATTCCCCGTCCATGGGGTATAATCAAAAACATTTCTCATCATCAGGGAATGGCGTATCCAAGAGACAAATCATACCTCAGGTTTTAGAGGAGGCTTGCCTTTGCAGATAGAGTCTATAAATTAAAAATCTTCAAAACGTAATTCTAGAGAAACTCCTTCTGCTTGGGCTTCCTACTGATCCTGCACCTCTCCACACGTTTTCCAAGCATATTAACTATAGTGCTGAGTAGCTATTAGAATTATGCAGAAATTTCAGGAATGTTGTACCACCTGGATGTGCCTGCAGCTCTGTCTCCTGTCTTGGACTTTGCTGCAGCTCACAGGTCAGCAGCACAGAGCTTCACCAGTCTCTGCTAGCTCATACAGCCTACAACGAAAGTGGCATTTACACTGCATCTGTGATTGTTTTCTCCACATATCTCTGCCTGTTTTGTTTAGGATAACTGTCTTAAAAAGTTAATATGATACTGATACTGAATGTGAACACCTCACATCTTATCTAGGCACAGTGCTACTAACCCAAGAAGCACTTGGGTGCTGATTGTACAGTAAGAGAACCTGTGTCATTAACAATCTGTTCCTGTGATACCAATAAACACTCTTCCTTCTCCCCAAGCTTTTACTCCAGACTTTCAGCAACCCCACAGCTCCCTGTAGTGGTTTTGCTCTGATGGCCAGCTGAGCTCCACGCTTCTCTCTCACTCCCCCTCCTCAAAGAATCAGGAGTAGAAAACAGGATGAAATAAGGACAGAGAAATCGCTCTCCAATTGCTGTCACAGACAGCACACTCCCTTAACAAGAGGGAGCTTTGCAATGAAGAGAAGCTGTTTCTTTTACAGGTGAGTGCTGTGGGAGATTTTTCTACGCATCCACAGCCCTTATTTGATTACTTATAGCAGCAGTGCTGCCAGTCGTGCTCATGTTGAGCCTACGTGGGTTAGCTTGTTTGCCTGTACTGTTTTTACTGCCTCGAGATATCCCATAGCTCTGGACTTCTTGCGTACAAAGTGATTGATATCAGTGAGTTAGGTTCCTTCTCTCCTTTTTTTCTGTTTTGACGTCTTCTGTGGCTGTGCTGCAAGAACCCTTCATGTCCTCAGCGAGGCAGCAGAGGAGCGAGTCAGCTCTGCTTCCTCGTTGGAGAGATGCGTTCCTCGCAGTGTCCTGCAAGCTCTGCTGTGTCTGTGCAAATGCGCACTGGGCAGAAGCACCGCTGATGGTCTGTCTGTAACTGCCTCCTACAGACACATCATACAGCTGTTTGCTCTTCTAAAATGACCTCGTGGTAATTGGCCAAGGCTGCTGTGGGGAGGAGGGGGATCTCACCCATCTTTCTGGGCCCTTTCACATCTCAGTTCTATATGTTCCATGCTTCTGATAACATCATTGACCCCAAAACTGCTGGAGGAGAGGTTTCTATCATTGCTACACGATCTGAAGCCACACATCTGGTACAAGGTGGTGTTTCACAGCTCTGTTGGACTGAAGCTGCCTCTGGTCACTCAAAGAGGCAGAGAGGAGATTGTATGGCATGTGGCACAAGGATTGAAAACAGGAGGTACAGTCCCCATTAAAGCAAGCTGTAAGAGAGAAGCTTGGCCAAAGAGTTGTTGTCCAAAGTGTTGTTGACACAGCACTGTGGATGTGGAGGTATTTGATGGGTTGGTGTGGATTGTTTGCTTTTGTGAGGCTTCTAGCAGCAAACTTTACAAATGTCCCTGACCTAACAGTGTTTACTTTGAAAAAGACATTTTTCCCAAGGATTCCTTTGGCCACACTGGTTGCAAGCCCACATTTTGTTGATTTTCTGGGAGGCTTCTTCCAAATTCAAACGTCTGTAAAAGGTTTAATTCCACCCTCGACAGTATTCAAAATGATCAGGGACGTGAAAGTGCACTTAAGATATTGCTGACTTGTGTGCTTAGCCTGGGGGACATAACAGAGCCCTCTCACTGTGGATGAGCAGAGGAAAGTGGTCTTGAGCCACAGAATGTCCAGGCTACAGAAATGGTACCAGGCTATTGCACTGACCATCTATTCCAATACATGTTGAACTCCTGTACTGACTTTTCTGCCATCTCTGAAGGCAAACAAGTCAAAACTGCGCAGCTGGAGCATCCTTACCCTGTCCTAAAGCAACAGGCTGGAAGATGCAGGGTTACAATGCGTCTCTATCAGAGACAAGATGTTGTCTGTTGTAGCAGGCAATCTACGCCTGTCCCGACAGCTCTGAGGCAGCAGGTGCTATTTGCTCTTCCAAAAGGTTGCTTGCATTTTAAGGCTTTTTCTGTTTCTGCTCACATTTAGGGTTGTTGTAATGATAAGAAGTGTAAAATATATTTGGATGGGTAACCATGGGACTGGTAGAAGTTATACTTGGTGGGGAAGACCTGAGAGCAACTACTTGGAGAATCACCATCACCCTAACTGCATTACCAGTTTGGAAATATGTGTCTCCAGTTCCACATTGCCCTGTCTCTTGGTCCGTGAAGCTCACAATGAGAGACTGTTATTCAACCCATCTTCTCTTCCCCTTCTTTGGCACCAGACCCATGTACATGACCAGCTTGGTAGATCTTGACTGTAACACTGCAGCGTTTCAGTGAGAATTAGAAATATCATTGTGTTTTCAGGGATGCAGACAGGGAAGCACTGCAACTCTCATTAGTCTCTGCTGCCTCCAGTATTGCCCCTCTGAGCTCATTGCAGGGAAAGACTGGGGAAGAAGCGGAGGACAGGGCAGCTCAGGGTGCTTGTGATGCTGGGCAGTACTGATAGCCCTGCTGCACAGAGGCCAATGGATGCAGGCTCATCTCACATTCACACGAGGCAAGGAACTGGATTTAGGTCACCTACAGAGAGCTCTCTTGTTGGTACTTTTTATAGAAGTGTTCCAAGAACATACTTTCATATTCAGCAAATTATTTGGCCTTTTAAAAGTTAACCTCTTAACAGAAATTCCTCAGATTATCCATCACTAATGAGTAATTGCAGATGCAGCTACTTCAACTCAATCTGATAATCTGAGCAGTTTTTCATTGGTTCTTGAGAATATCTTTAGAATCGGGCACAGTAAGCTCTACTTTATTACACCACTGCTGCTACTGCCTGATCATCAAACCACACACCCTGCACTATTGAGGGACAGAGGCAGAGTGAAGTTTCCTTTGAGCTGGTAAGATGGTTTAACTTACTTCTATGTTATGCAAGCCAGTAGATAATGATAGGATACATCTACTAAGATAAAATATAAGATATAAAGAATAATTGATTCATGTTAATGCGGAATTGTATATTGTTTCTTGTACAATGGGCTGGAACAACCAAACCACCAGAAGGGTCTTTGCACTTTTGTTCTGCTAGATTGCTGAGCACAAAACCGCACTCCGTCACGTTGATTCAGACTTAGATTGTGCTGAAAAGAGGCATCATCTTGGTTAAAAAAATAAATAATAAAGAAATAGGCCCTTCTCTCTGAGTGAAAAAGATGAATGTAAACGAATTCAGCCAGAATAGCCCCCTCAGTGTTTGGAACTATGCGGGCAAAAATAAATTCTTTTCATGTATGCATATATATGTGTGTACATACATAAAAATACACACACACCAGTACCGCTCTATTACAGCAGCCTTCCTATGTAGAAACTTCTCTCAGCTGACAGGGTGCAAATCTGTCAAAGCCAGTAGTTCAGAGCTGTTCCTGTGCACCAAGTTATGGAAAAATGGCTCTCCAAAGATGAAGGCAGCAAAAGATTGGTTATTTGAGGTTGGACAGGGAAATCCTTCTACTTTCTTATTCTCTATCAGTTCACACGCTCACAGGCTGATCATGTGAGTGAGCTACATGTGCTTTACATGTTTCTGTTGGACATGTTCAGAGATCTAGCTATTCTGTGGGTAGATAACATTATTTTTTCTTAAAGGGTTTTTTACAGGACTTTTCTATCACTTTTACTCTATTACTTTTCTCCCTGTCTCTGTCACATCAGAAATAACCTTCTTGTCCACATCTTCACAGTCCCTGACAGCTTCTCCTTTTCCTCTTGCAAACTCTCATTTCCGTATCAAGAAGTCACTCCATGATATTAGCCTCCAGCTCCAATTAGTTCATCAAATCAGCCCTACATTAATTTCTGCCATGCTGTTGCTTACACGCTGGTGCCTATAGTTCTCTTCTGAGCTACCTCAGCTTCATTTTTTTAGTTTCTCCTGACAGCTCTGCTGAGTTGCTTCAAACCAGAGAACATCTAGGCTGCCTATACACTGAGAGTGTGCTATCACCATCTTGTATTAATTCCCTTACCTATCAGAATATTTATTTCACCCTATACATTCTAAAAAGCAAAACTTTTTATGTTGTACTGGACCTCAAACGTGAGAGTGAGACTAAATTTTGAATATGGGTTTCCGTTAATGTGAACAGATTTGGCAACAACAGCTGAGCATTTGGGAAATCTGTGTTTTGTAGAAATTCTGTTTGAAATGGGAAATAGAACTACAGGAAGGTATGGAAAAGGCACAGCTGCAAAGCCTTATTTTCTTGAGCAGACAGTAGGCAAGAGAATTCTGCCCAGGAAGAAAGGATGGGAATACTATTGCAACCAGCTGAGATCATTGGGAACCCGAGGTCACCAGCACTGACTTCTTGTTAGCTTCTGCTTGCTTCCTGGCTTGATTATTAGGTTCTTGTTCCCCTGCTGCTGTGAAAAGAACTGGCAGTGTTCTGAGATGATGGTCACTGGTAGTAATGACAAATGCTCACTAGGCCATTGAGAATTCCTTTGCTCCATTCTCACTGAAATTGAAAAGGACTTTTGCGCTTATCTCATTTTTGCCCCCTCAGTGGCTGTCTGCTGTCAAGGAGAACTGAGGTTTGAATCAGCCATATGCATCCACTTTGCTATTTGGCCTATAAAAATCTTCATTCCTACCAACAGAAGAAGAAAACATTACTGAAGCAGGCATTTTCTTCTGGACCTTAGCAGAACAGTTTATCTGTGGGCTGGCTGGGCTGTCATCAGTCTTTGGGCGATGTGGCAATTCACTTTCCACAGCTGAGTAATTTGAAGCAGGTGGGAAGCAAAGCAGATCTGAACAATGAGAAAAGGCACTGGAGTATATCTAGGATACTAGGAAAACATACAGTTGCTTCTTACAAGACAGATCTCATTGTAATGTTCAGCAGACAAAGCTCAGCCTCATGATGTCTCTGCAGTTATCAGTTCCCCCAGATGCTAATACTTGTACCATTATTGCCTTTCTGCACATAGGGAAGTGCTTGGCAATTACTGAGAAGTGATATCACCTGTTTGTGAACCAGCTGACTGGACATACAGCAGGTTTACCTCTGCAAAGTAGAGGACTGCAGGTGTTCAGAAGAAAGTTCATTGTGATAACTTCAGGACAGAGAGCTGTAACTAAGAAGTCCTGTATCAGTCTTGTGACTTTCATCTGAGCAAAGGAATTTATTTTATTTTCTGGATACCTAACCAAGTTTTATAGATTGTAAGTGTTAGAATGTATGCTTAGGTAAGAGGTTTTGGTAAGAGATGTGGTTCTCCTCTGTTCACCTTCTGCCCTTTAGAAATGAAGATACCTTATCTATCCTCAGCTCGTAACTACTGAACTCTCTCCATCTTTCTCTAGCAGATTTTAAAAAGCAACTTTTCTCCTATCTGAAGTACTCTTCCTGTACTGATAATTCTAGCTGGCGTAAAATTGCTTCTTAGCCTTTCCTTTGGTTAAGTCTAAGAGATGACTTGATCTCTCAGTTGTTTATCTCAGACAAAAGATATCAAAGATTAAATCATTCTTATAGCTCGTATCAGAACCATTTTAATCTGTTCAGTAACATCTTATTGAAAGCTTGGATCTCAAGGGAAGGACTAATAATGGCATTACAAATGCTAAAAGTAGTTGCAATAGCACTTCTTTTAATTGATACACGTCCAAGATCTGTGCTGGTTCTTGTAATTGTGTCAGTGTACTGCAGGCTGTGGCTCAGCTGCTTATCTGCTACTTGCCCCAAATCATTTTCTTCTAAACTTTTCAGAACTTAGCATTCCATTACCCCACTACAACAAACGTTCATGTGACTTGTAACACACAGATCAGCATTTAAACAACATTGTATTTGTTTCCAGGTGAGAAAGAGCAATTGTAGATGTCTGGCGCCCTTCAGACATTGAAGAACTGAACAAAGAGAATTTTTGAGAGGTTGAGAGAGAGGGGAAGGAATATTAACAAATTAGCTACATTTACCTGGAAATAGGTGATTACCTTGTGTAGTAATTTTGATGTTCTTTGTGTGCCTGGGCATTTATAATAGTATGCATAATTCTATTTGTGCATGTGCTTACACATCTCTGTCTATTTCAGATTTAGTCAGCTTTACTGTACTTATCACAGGGATCATATGCAACTCTGATCAGGATGATAAGCAGGAGAGATGACGTGCCTCCCACCTCCCCCAGCTAAACTCAGCTAGCAGAGGCGCTTCCTCTATGCAACGCCCACTCTGAAGAAGGTCTGTAGCAAAACAGGATGTCTACCAAAAACCCATAAATGAAGGCATGGTGAATTGGAAGCCAAAAAGATTTTTTTTTTCCTTTGATCAATTTCTGAGACATTCTGATTATTTTCCTACTTAATTCAGAAAAGCTATGCTGTAAGCAAATCTAATCATAGGAAGGAGTTTGCTATAGGAGTGCTGCTTAGTTGTGTGACATCTGGGAGTGGAAGGATGCTTTTGACCATAGAGTCCAGCTCCTGCTTCTGTAGTTATCAGATCATACAATACCTTCAATGAAACAATCCTGCTGATTGAAACATCACAGTCCTTCCTAAGTATAGACTTCTTCTCAGTCCCATTCAAGACCACTCCAGAGCTCCTGCTGATTAGAAACCACACTCATTCCATAGCCTGCTTAAGCTCACTTGGCTTTTTGCCAGTGCTACTCTCAGAGTTTCCTCTATCCTGTTGTGAATCTCTCTTTCCTCCAGCTGCTTCTGAAAGTTCATAGAGGTGGCATTCCCTCCTCCTCCCCCGCAATAAGTCAACCATGGCCTTTCAGGACAGGACATTCTCACAGCCTCCTCTTACCCCAGAGCTCAGTTCTGTACCTGCACTGGGGAAGCCATGGAAACAACATTTTCCTCTTATTTTTGAATTCTTCAAATAACTGCTTTAGGGTAAGCTCAGAAGTGCTCTTGGTTCATGCTCTCATTCTGTGTTTTCTGGACTCCAGGCTGAATCACGGGCTCCTTAGAGCAGCATGCTGTCTGCAGAGGTGCTGACCTTTCTTGCAGCATGAATCTAGTGGCAAACATTGCCACAAGTTGGAAGCATCTCCCAAATACGCAATGAGTACATTGGGTCAGGATTCTTCATATTCAACTTTTGTTTGCTGGAATATCTTCCAATGGAAAGGTCATTAGGAAAGAAATCACAGAATGGAATTCATATTTAAAAAGAAAGACAGAGTCCCATATAGCCTTGTGGAGAGACTGTTCGATATTGCAGAAGAAAAGACTCAAATTCCAATACAGTCCCTTTCAGTATATTGTGGCAATGACCAGGTCCTAAGTTTTCTACATCCCAGATGAGTGTTTGGCCAGAAACATGTTGGCTATTCTTTCAGTTTCTGTCTTTCAGGGTTTTCTTTTGCAGCAAAGAAAATACTTATTGCAAGGAAATACAGATGCCAAGATTCTCTTGCTGCAGGTGGGCAGCTTGCTTATCTATCTGGAATGGTGGCTTTTTCTGTATGCATGTGTTTGAACATGTAAGAGAGAAAATTATGACAGGTCTTGGTTTCTTTCAGATATGAAATGGAATAATTTATTTAAAAAAAAAAAAAAAAGTTTGTGCTAGAACACCCTTTTCTTTCCCAACTTGTGTACTGACCTCAAACCATTTCACAATGGCTCAAGACAACTTCAGGTGGTTTGAAGGAAGACTCCCCTAGAACTTCTGTGACACCAGCAGCCCAAGGAAACTTTCCTCTAGTGAAGAAAAAGGGGAGGTTTCCATCAGGAAATGGCAGAAAATCAGTGAGTCCCTCAAGTAAAGAAAGACCTGTCATTAAAGGCAGATAGTGGTTACGGTGTAGATGCTTTCAGCAGGTAAATACTGCTCATGAGAGGAAAAAAAAAGCATTGAAGCCTTGAAGATGCAGAAATTATGTCTGCTCCAGGAGACCCATGAGCTGCAACATCTGGAGACTGAGAAGGTTTTCAGAGAAGAGCTTCAGTGCTGTCTCTGGTCAGAAAGAGCAGTCAGGCACTGGCACAGGCTGCCCAGGGAAGTGGAGCCACTAAGCCCGCAGACGCTTAAGGAAAGGGCAGATGTAGTGCTGTAGTGGGCAATGCTGGTGGCAGGTGGATGATTGGACTAGACAATCTTGGAAGTCTTTTCCAGCCTTAATATTCTATGATTCTATCACTACATGTTTCTCTAAATATCTGTTTTCAGTTTCCATCAGAAACAGCACACAGGGAAACATGAATGCATCTACCAGCTTGTGTTTGTCCTGGCAGGAGTGTGGAGCTAAAGCTGCTGGTACAACTACTGAAAAAAAACTCTTCTAACAATTGTTCTGATTTAGATACTGTCTGGAATGGGGCGAAATGTGCAGCAGACTGGCCTTCACCTGTGCATTATTGCTGTGCTGCTTCTTGGTGAAGGACAAGGGAGAGGTAAGGGGAGATTTTGAATAGGTCCACTATGGAAGGTGTGTATACATGCTCTCATTTTTATGTGAAGACTCTAAGGAATGGAACATAAGATCTCATGGTTGCCCTTTTCTGGTTCCTGAGCAGTGGTACAGCTGGCTGGCAGTGCCAGACCTGGGGAGCCACGCTCATAGCAGACAAGCTGAGCAGCAGAAAGCACAGCCACTGCATAGAGTCTGCCCTAAGGTCTTACACTCGTCTCACACAGGGAAGTGCAGTACCAGAGAGGAAGAGTGTATTGTGAGGAAGGCATCACTAAAGGAAAGGCTAGCAAGTAGTGCATTTTAGATCTCGTTAGGTGATAACATGAATGCAGCTCCTGTCTGCTTCTTCTGCAGATTTCCCTGGCAGCCTGAGCTGCTTGAATAACTACGTGACTACTGTGAGCTGTACGTGGGCACCTGAGGAGCCCGTGGGTGATGGACCTTTCCACCTGCATTTCACAAAGTAAGAGCTGCAAGCTGAGAGCTGCCTGTGGCTCTCCTGGCCCTGGCACGGGAAGGGCAGCACAGAGAGGCAGAGACAGTTCATGGCTGGGGGCTTTCCTTGCTTTGGACATTGCCAGTTCAGTCACCCAGCTGCTCTCTTCTCAGTCTTCCACAGCGTCAAGAAGTGCAGCAGAGCTCTTGCAGCTGTGTGGTCTCCTGCAGACTCAGGGTGGTCTTCTGCTCCAGTATTATCTGCTAGCAAGAGCCTCTCAGTGCAGAAAGCCCTCCTGTTGTAGCCTTGACTCTCTGTCATTGGGAAACATGCAGGGCTTTAGTAGCAGATTTATTATGTGAGTAATTCTACATCTAAGATGAGAAATCTGGTGAATAATTTGTGATGTGATAGGATAATAAGCATTATGTATGCTAATTTGAGATCAGCCTTTTTAGATTATGTAATAAAGTTATCTTGACTACCAGTAAATAATAAACTGTTACATGAGCGGAAGCTGCTGTGGCATTTGATGCCTCACATGAAGTCAAGAATAGCGTAACTCTTAATGATACAGCATTTTAAAGCTGTAAAGCACTTAATCACACGACTTAAAAGAAACCTTCAGCCTTTCCATTTTTTTTAGCCTCTGGTCAAAGGGCCAAAATGCCAGCTGCCAGCTGACTGCCAGAGACAGCATGCAGGAGCAGTACCACTGCACGATGCGCTTAGCAAGACAGATCTTGGAAACAGATGGTTACAGAGTCTCTCTCCAAGGCAACTTCTATGGAAGCAATCACACATACGTTACCTTTCAGGAGTACAGTCCCCGCCAGCACAGTAAGTGCAAACCAGGGCAGTTGTGGGCCGAGGCTCTGTCTGGAATCTTCGGGAAGGATCTGATATACTTCCTGATTAAAAGGGCGTCTCAAAGCAGGTGAAAGTAATGGGAACAAGCCAGAATGTATAGCCCTGCAGAGTACATTATCTGGGCTTTAGCAGTAGGGATGAAGTCCCAGTGTATCTCCATTTTGACTTTTTCTGGACTTCAGAGAGTGTTTGCTCTTGAATACATTTTGATTGTATTTCTTGTCTGCATACTGTTTGCCTGTGCTATGGATAATGTACCACTCGATTGTTTTCATGGTACTTGTTTGCTGTTTTGCCACAAATAAATGAAGTCACAAAGAATCTAAGTTGTGGATCTAATTCTAGATCCCATGGCACAGTACTTCACACAGATGGTATAGAGCTTGAAATCTCAAAGCCTCTGTATACCAGTGCCACACTGGAAGAGACTGTGACATCTTGAGTGGCTCTTTGCTTGCAGGAATATCCCCAGGGGATGAGATAGCATCCCTTTATGCCAGTTCCCTACCTGTTTTGACCTACTCCAAAAGCTAATTCAGTCTACTGTTGCACTTAGTATCACTAGAAGCGGCTTGGTCTTCCAAGACTTTGATCAGCCTAGGAACACGCATCTCCTTCTGCGGTGCTTCAGTCCCAAATATTGTGGAAAACCTCTCTCTCTATTTGCAGTAAAACTTGATCCACCTTTGAACATCCAGAGCAATGTTACTGCCAGCAAGTGTCAGATATGGTGGACTGTGCCTTCCTACCTCGATGAAATTCTCCAGTACCAGTTGCAGTACAAGGAGTACAGCTCATCATGGGAGGTAACTGGATGGGCAACACACTGATACAGTTCTGCTCTTCTTGGTGCAATGGCCTTGCCACTCAGCTCAGGGCCTTCTGGCAGCTGATTACTTTAAGATAGCCTTTCTGGTTTGCCACACAAAGATAAAGCGGTTTTATATAAAACACTGTGGAGATCAATAAATCTTCTTAATCCTGCATTCAGATATCAGTTGTCATCATGGAGGCCTTCTTCTTGCATCCAGGAACAGACAGTTTGGGGAAAAAGTAGTTATTAAAATATTCTCCCTTTGCCTCGTGAATAGAAACGTTTGTAATAACTTGCAGACTGCACAGAACAAGACACCACCCAGTTCGCTACCACAAATAGAAATTGAAGGCACAGAATTTCACAGTGGCATCTCTTACATTGCACGAGTTCGCTGCAAAGTTTCTGAAATTGAGGATTCATACCACAGTCAGTGGAGCGACTGGAGCCAGACAACAGTATTTCAAAGAGAAGGTAAAAATAATGTTGTTTTTGCCTTAATTTCAAGGGTTGCTGTTGTTCTTTTGTTGTTGGGTTGTTGCACTGATTGTTTATTTGGAGATCTACCTTAAAATCTAGGCTTCTTTTTTTTTTTTTTTTTTTTTTTTTTTGTGCATGTTCTTTTTATAGGTGCATCTGAACTGTCTGAAAACCTCTTTGATACCAGAACATTCGAGTTCTTGATCATTCCTCTGAGTTTTGGCACCCTACTCTATTTATTTTGGAACTGCAAGCTTTCTTCAAGGTACATTATGATACTTCATTAAGTTCTCCTTGATTTTCATAGCCCAAAGAGAAATTAAGTGTTTACATCTGTTTTGCTTTCTACTTTTGCTGCACAATCAGATTCTGACATGCTCAAAAGCTCTTTTGACAATCTCAGGACATGA